AGACTATGGAAGACATGATAGCAGTGTTCCAATATTTGAAGGGCTGCCACAGAGACGAAGGGGTCAAGCTATTTTCCAAAGCACCTGAAGGCCAGACAAGGAATAATGGATGGAAACTGAACAAGGAGAAATTCAACCTAGAAATAAGGAGAAATTTTCTGACAGTGAGAACAATCAACGAATGGAAGAGGAGTTGCCTTCAGAAGTTGTGGGAGCTTCATCCCTGGAGGCTTTCAAGAAGAGATTGGACTGTCATTTGTCAGAAATGGTGTAGGCCAGGGTCTCCTGCTTGGGTGGGGGTTGGACTAAATGACCTACAAGGTCCCTTCCAAGTCTGTTAATCTGTTACTAGATATATTCTATTCAGGAACCCCAACATTTGTCAGCTTCTCCTCTTTAATATTGCAACAAAACAGGAATTTTATACTCTTGGTGACATTCCACCATTTTTTAAAATTATCACGAATGACTATAGTGGTCCACCTTAATGTGCAAATCTGATCGACTCAAATTGCTCCTCAAGCTTTGAGGTGGTGACTTGGTAGTTTTTATTGCCATCACAAATGTGGCATGTGAGAAAACCAGGGCTCAGTTTACAATTTCTTGGACATTTGCTCCGACAATGACCCTGCCTTTTTTTGTGCCGGCAGCAGAGGGAAAAATTGGAGCTTGGGGATCTTGTGAGTGATCTTGTGGGTTAGGCTGGGTGACAAAAGACCTGCATTCCAAACAAAAAATTCATGGAAAGAGGTGGTGAATTCATGTCAGATATCATTTCCGTTCAAAGGATGTTTACCCACAAACATCGGATGAAATATTTATTAAAACTCTTTCTTGGCAAGAATTGCTAAGATATTTAATAGCTGGAACAGTAAAAGGTATATTGGGCCAGAACACAGAGTTGTAGTTGATTGGTTGGGGAATGCGGGATCTTGCATGAGGTAATCTACGTTATTATTGGTTGCTATAGGTGAAAGGGGGAGTTTCCCTTTTTCCAACCTTTTTTTTTTTTTTTTTTTTTGTTTTTTTTTTTTTTTCTGTGATTTACCTAACGATTTATCTCATGATGTAGTGATGGGCACATGGGGCAATCTACACTATGATTGGTTGCTGTAGGAGAAAGGAGGAGTTTTCCTTTTTCCCGCCTTTCTCTTTTCGTATATGTGCTACATTCTGTGATTTACCTGACAATTTATCTCATGATGTAATGATGTGCTTCTGCATGAGGCAATCTATGCTATGATTGGTTGCTGTAGGGGAAAGGGGGAGTTTCCTTTTTCCCGCCTTTTTCTTCTTCTGGGTGCTCTGAATGCTGTTTTGTGATTTACCTCATGATGCTCCTGACTATCTTGTCTGCTGTAAATTTAAATATAAAATATATTCATTTATATAAAACTACAAGTTTGTGTCAGCGTTTCTGACTCCATTTGAACACTGGCTGTGCAATTCCCTGACAATAATAGTGTCAAGAAACATTGTGGTCATAGGTTAACCCCTTGAAATTAGATTGATTCAAACTGAGAATTAACCTGGAAAGCAAATGCTATCAATGTGATAATTTAGGATTGGAAAAGTATTTTATACTTTTTATATATTTTATATATAGTATTAGTATTAGTATAGTATTTTATATATTTTATATATAGTATTTTATACTACAGAGGTGGGCTTCACGCACAGAGGTGGGCAACCAGCACCGCCCAGCACCAGAAATGCACGCGTGCACCATCTGTGCATGCATGTGGCATCACAAAACATGGCAGTTTGCTTACACGCACTGTCTGCGCATGCGTGCAGCATTAAAAACACATCGATATAGGACAGGATTGCGCCCGGCAAGTGGGCGGGCCCATCCGCAGGTTGCCACTACCAATTCGCCCGAACCAGTCCAAACTGGCTGAATGCCACCTCTGGACAGCTGCATACTAGAGTGCTCAGTCAAGACAACATCTGTATTTCCACAAAGTTGAAAGTCTATGGAGCTGTAGTGATTCCTTCTCTCATATATGATGTGAATGCTGGACTCTGTGATAAAGGCACATCAAACCATTAGAGAAATTTCTCATGCATGGTCTCCGCTCCATCCTCGGCATTTGTTGGCAAGACTGTCTCTCCAGACCCCAAATATATCAGAATGGATGTCCGCCAGATGCCTCACCAATTGTTCTTTTGCATATAGAGTCTGGGAGATGCTTTTTCAAAAGGCAACTAGACTTTCTTATAATTTCCTTTGAAAACATTTGCCTGCTCATCGAAGAAGCTTCTTCAGTTCATTCGGTTTTCAAAGTAAAAAAAAAAATCAAGGAAATCCAGTTGCCCTTTGGAAAAGCACCTTTGGGACAACCATGGCATGGATGGTGGAGAATCTCCATAGATATGGAGTCTGGGAACAACTATGATCAACCTCCCATTATAGAGTACAACAATAGAGTTGGAAGGGGCCTTGGAAATCTCCAGAGTTCTCCAACCCTTCCAGTTTTGCAGATTGGTGCAGGGGAGAGGGTTCTGCGCAGGGGTGGGCTTCAAATTTTTTAGCAAGAGGTTCTCTGCCCAGTTGTTGGGTGGGCATGGCCATGGTGGGCGTGGCCTAGTCGGCCTCCTGCACCATGGTGGGGGGGCGTTTTTGCCCTCCCCAGGCTCCAGAGGCTTTCCTCGAGCCTCCGAGAGGGCGAAAATGGCCTCCCCAGGCTCTGTTTCCAGCCTTCCTAAACTTCTGGTAGGCCCGTTTTTCACCCTCCCTGAGATTCCACGCATGCCCTGCACTTACCTGCATCCAAAACGGGCCGCGTGGGAACTCTTGGGAGGGGAGGGGAGGGCAGGGGCGGGCAGGGCCAGCCAGAAGTGGGATTTGGGGGTTCAGGAGAATCTTAGCTAGAGGTTCTCCTGAACCGCTGCAAACCCCCAGCAATCCACCCCTGGTTCTGTGTGAGTGGCAGGCATGTGCATATGCATGTGCAGCTCTATTTGTGTGTCCGATGGGCAACTGTGCTCACTGCTCGTGCAAATGGAGCTGCTTTCCCACTGCTTGCACAAGTGGAGATAAGTGGTGGGTTCCTCCCAGTTCGGTCCGGTTCGGTCGAGCCGGTAGCGGTGACGATATGACGTCACCGAACCGGTTCTCCCCCCCCCCCGCCCTCCCACCTCCCCACCCACCCACGTTATTCTTACCTTTTATTTGGTCCCATACCCAATCTATTACTGCCTTCTGAGTCCCAGCTGATGACTAGAGGGAAAAAAACTGTTTAAACTCTTGCCGCAGGGCTTCAAAGGGCCGCCCTACAGCTGATCAGTGTTAAAAGCAAACAAATGAGTCGGGTCGTAAGTGCGAGTACTGGTCGTAAGTGCGAGGACCTTCCAGAAATGACTCTGACCAGCTAGCCACGCCCACCTAGTCACATGACCTCCAAGCCACACCCACAAAATAAGCCACCCCCACAGAACCGGTAGTAAAAAAATTTAGAACCCACCCCTGGTGGAGATGCTCACCCATGCACATGCTCGGCCAACACACCCGCAGCCCGGTTCTGAATGTCTCATATCCTGGTAGTGGGCCACAGAATACAGTAGAACATAATTTGATCTGGTAACTTTTATTTATAATCAGGTTTGGGGCAGAATAACCCCTTCTGACACAGAAAATAAAGTGGAGCGTGCATTATTTAATTATTTTTCCCATCCAACAACCTCAGTGGATAATGCTGTTTGTTAATTCAAAGTGAAGGACTCTAATAACCATCACTGCTATATTTAATGCATTATCCCAGGTAATGGCATCTTGATGTGGAGTTACCTCTGAAAAAACACTTGATTGGGTTTGAGGAACTGGACAGAAAGGCGTTGTCATCCTATTCCAGAACCTTCATGTTGGTCAAATAGAAGTGGAAACCATTCCCTGGTGCATCCCTCAAGTCTTATCCATCGATCTTATTGCTTCGGTATGCCCAACTTTTACCAGTCATACATGACTAAGGCAAAAGGAAGATTTCTCAAGACCAAGCAAAAAGAATATACCTACAATGTCAGCCAGATATATGTGCTTGGCAGGGGTGGGCTGCTGGAAGTTTGCAGGGGTTCGGCAGAACCTCTAGCTAAGATTTTGTGCAATTCAGAGAACTCCCAAATCCCACTCCTGGCTGGCTCCGCCCATCCCTCCCCTCCCCTCCTAGGAGTCACCACGCGGTCTGTTTTGGATGCAGGCAAGTGCAGGGCACGTATGGAGGCTCTGGGAGATCAAAAAATGGGCCAACTGGAACTTCAGGAAGGCCGGAAATGGGCTTGTTTCCAGCCTCCAGAGAGCCTCCGGAGCCTGGGGAGGCCATTTTCGCCCTCCTTGAGGCTCAAGGAAAGCCTCCGGAGCCTGGGGAGGGCAACACCCCCTGCCATGGTGCAGGAGGCTGACTAGGCCACCCCCACCATGGCCACGTCCACCCAGCAGCCAGCCAGAGAACCCCTTGCTAAAATTTTTGAAGCCCAGCCCTGGTGCTTGGTAACTGTGGGAAGCCATAGAAGGATCGTATCAAAAGTGATTTTTATTTTCGAAAAGGCAAGTGGGTGGAATTTTTTTTTTTTTTTTTGAGGAAGGACGTTTCACTTCCTCAAAAAACGTTGTTTTCTTTCTCAAAAAAAAAATCAGTCCAGTTGTTGCCTTTTCAAAAAAAAATAAAAACCACTTTTGATACAACTATGACCTGGATGACTGAGAATTTCATAGACATTTGGCCACAAAAGGGTTCTAAAATGGCTTTGATCCTTTAAAGATGAGTTTAGTGAAGATGAAGCCAGACTTCTCAGAACACACAGCAAGAGGCTGAATTGAGCATAGACTGAAATCCTAGGAGGCAGAAAAATAAGAGTTTAACCTGAAAACCTGATTGTTTTACTGAATCTAGAGAAATGCCGTCTCCTTTGCCATTCCTGGTTTTCTTCCTTCTTTCCTCTTCCACTCTAATGATTATCAGGGGGCCCAGGGTGACTGTTGCGAAAGAAAACCATCCTCTTCAACAATCACTCGGCGGCGCCATGGCAACCAGGACGTCAGCATGAGACGGCAGCTGGATGCCATCTGAATTTCTCCTTCCTTGGGATCGGAAGCATTTGAGGTGAAGAGAGATGGAGCAGGGCAGCATGGGGAGATGAGATGCAGAAGCACGGCCAGGGGGGAGCGTTTCCCCTTGGGGGGGGATGGCAAAGGTAAGTGTGGGATGGGGTGTTCAGGTGAACAGTTGGATGGGGGGTGCCATTCTTGGCGCACGAGGGCAGGACAAGAAGCAGTGGGCGGAAGCTCGTTAAAAAAAAAAAAGAGATCCAATCTGGAACCAAGGAGAAATTTCCTGGCAATAAAACCAATTAATCAATAGAACAGCTTGTCTCCGGGAGGTGTGAGTGCTCCATTAGTGGAGACTTTCAAGAAAAGATTGGACGGTCATTGGTCTGGGATGCAATAAGGTCTCCTGCTCTTGGGCAGGGGGATGGACTAGAACAGGGGTCACCAACCTTTCGGACTTCAGGGACCACTAAATTCATAATTTTAAATCCCGCGGACCCACTAAGATGAATTTTTGAAAAAGATAAAACAGTATTTAGTGCAATGTAAAAAACACAAATAATTTTTCTGCGGACCGCCAAAATATTCTCGTGGACCAAGGACCACCAGATGGTGACCACTGGACTAGAAGACCTCCAAGGTCCCTTCCAGGCCTGTGAGTCTATGATTCTGTGAATCTCATGTCTGCCGGGGGAAGGGGGCTAACGAAATCTCCCAAGAGAAGCAACAGTTTGAGCCACTTAGGAATGGCCGTCCTTCAGAGACTCTGCCGCTGTCCATGGTGCTACAAATGCCTTATTTACTTACAGTATAAATGACTTTCAACAAGGCGGGGGTGGGAGTGTGTCAATTCCCACCCACACTTCACGCATTACAGGCAAGTTCCCCCCTAAGTGTTACTAACGTATGCAGATAAATTTGAGGGCTGTTGGTTAGTGCAACGGGATTGTTCTTGAATAGCAAATCCTTTTCTTTCTTTCTTTTTTTTAAAGAAAAGAGATGGGGGAGTTTTAGTTTAGCTCCTGGGGAGGGGGCCACCCACCTGACTCATTTTCCATGCGATCCACGTTAGGACCTTGCAAGCAGTATCAGCACTGAGTTCCAAGCAACATCACTATTTCTTTTTCCAGGGAAAGGAGGAAGTGCAACATGTTTGACTTTCATTTAACCCTCGGCGGACCAACATCCAGACGTAGAGCCATGGTGAATATTGAAACTGGCCTCCAAAATGAAGCTGCTGGCCTCTGCAACCAAAATTCTCCATGGGGAACATTGCTGAATTGGGAATTGTGCTTGGAAACAGGTAGGATTCGTTCTGCATTCTTCCTTCTGGGAAGTAGGGGATTGGATCAGGGGAGAAACATTGAAATTTTAATGTTAATGTTCTTTTTCTTTGGACCTTGCTGAATAAAATGAATGAATAAAAAATGAAATCAGTTCAGCTATCTCACATCCTTTTAAATACCAGTTATTCCTGCCATTAGAACAGCCGGTGGTGCAGATTCCTTCAGGATTGCATAGAAAGTGAGGCTCTGTAGGTTTGGGGATACGTAGTTTGCAAGCACAGGATTAAAACTGGCACATCGGGTATCTCTTGTGGCAAGCCTGGAAAGGAGATTGGTGTAAAAGGGTGGGCGCTAGCCAAAAAAAACCCACAATATTGATGTTAATGGACCGATAGTTTGAATTCGTGCTGTTTTTTCAGTACTGTGACTGAATGCCACTGAACATGATGGCATGGAGATCTGTAGGATTAATGGTTTACACTGAACGCTCAACAGGGAATTATTCCTAAATGTAAAAGCAGAAAGAAAAATAAACGAGGAATATCTTTTAAAGCAGTATGCCCAATGAATTGGGATCAGGAGAAAGTGGAAAGAATAATGCCACAGATCTCAAAAGACAGCGGGTGAAAGAAATCAGATCTAGATTAGATTTTCTACTGTTGAGGAATTAAAAATATACAAACCCAAAAAAATGGACTCTCAAAGATGTACAGCTCAGAGATCTTTGTTGGTTTCACCGGGACAGATCCCTTAAAAGTAGAATTAAAAGGACAGAAGCAGTTCCAAACTGGCCTAAAATCCAGCCACATTCTCTTGTGAAACCTCAACTCTGCAGATGGAGTCTCTGTTGTGGCAACGATAAGCCGGATCGCCTAAAAAAAGACTGGCTAAGCCAGAGCTAAAATTCAGCCGGGTCAAAGGTCTCTCTTTTTAGCAAAATCTCAGCAGATCTTTCTGGACAGTCAGCCATGCTTTCCGCTCTTCAACACATAACACTGCATGATCAGATAAAAAAACCTGTTTTGGGGGGCTGAAAAGAAGCCACTATGTAGTAGCTAGTGACGTGGTGGCTCAGTGGCTAAGACACTGAGCTTGTCGATCGAAAGGTCGGCAGTTCAGCGGTTCGAATCCCTAGTGCCGTATAATGGGGTGAGCTCCTGTTACTTGTCCCAGCTTCTGCCAACCTAGCAGTTCGAAAGCACGTAAATAATGCAAGCAGAAAAATAGGGACCACCTTTGGTGGGAAGGTAACAGCGTTTCGTGCGCCTTTGGCGTTTAGTCATGCCGGCCACATGACCACGGAGACGTCTTCGGACAGCGCTGGCTCTTCGGCTTTGAAACGGAGATGAGCACCACCTCCTAGAGCCGGGAACAACTAGCACATATATGCAAGGGGGACCTTTATTTTTACCTTATGTAGTAGCTGATTGCCTTCTGTCCATTTGAGTGTTCCAGTGTTTCCTGCTTAGCCTTCTCAGCTTCTCCATGCTTCATCATCTTTTTGCCATGCCCTACTCAGCTTTGAAGCAGGGCAACTCTTGTCATGTCTATTGGCATGACTGACATCCCTGCCCTGAGAAACTCAGGCAATTTTCCTCTTTACTCTTGCCAAAACCGATTTCTTCAAACATTTCTTCAGAATGTTTGTATACCAGAGTACTTTAAACATGGGGATATTTCAATCTAATTTAATTCATTCTCCATTTAAATTTCATGGAACCAAATTTATACATTCATTTATTTATTTCTTGGTTGGTTGGTTGAATACTCTGCCCATCTCACTACCCAAAATGACCATATCAAATCTGATTTAATTTGATATTATTTGTGTGACTTGATTCAATTTCAAGGATGCACCTACATGTGCTGAAACTTTGTTTTAGGGTTGGCATTTAGTACATCATTGATAACATTTAATTCACAGTATGTTTGGGGAAGTAGCAGTTCGAAAGCACGTAAAAAATGCAAGTAGAAAAATAGGGACCACCTTTGGTGGGAAGGTAACAGCGTTCCATGCGCCTTTGGCGTTGAGTCATGCTGGCCACATGACCACGGAGATGTCTTTGGACAGCGCTGGCTCTTTGGCTTTGAAATGGAGATGAGCACCGCCCCCTAGAGTCAGGAACGACTAGCACATATGTGCAAGGGGAACCTTTACCTTTACTATGTTTTGGGAAAAATACAATTAAAGCAAAGCAGATTCCTTTATAGGGACTCAATGCCTAGAAAATACCCAGTAAAGAATTCTTTGATACTATACATATTTAATATATGGGGTAAGCAGCTGTAAGATGTTCATTGAGCTAGTTGATTTTTAAAAGGTGCTCAGGTACAAATTAATGAAGAAAAAGACTGTCAGTGGTTAATACATGAGGGAGAAAGTACAGTTTGCCAATATCCCACTCATGACTTTCTTGCTGGCCTTTGACTGGTCTTGTGTGCAGGAATGGGCTTTGGTCTGATCTAGAATGCTTCACATCCAGAGCAGAGGATCATTCGCAGAAGAAAAAGCATTAACTTGGTATCTATGGGGTCCTTGATGTTCTATGATGATGTTACCTAGTTGGGTAATGAAACATCTGCAAGCAAATTACCAAGCTCAGAGAGCATCAAGGGCCCCACAGTTCAAGTCTGAGTTACAGATATTCTCTTCTATCAGTAATCTGGTATCTTTTTGAAGGCTCCCTAGGAATAGAGTAGAGTAGAGTAGAATAGACTAGAGTAGAGTAGAATAGAGTCTAGAGTCTAGAGTCTAGAGAATAGAATAGAGTAGAGAGTAGAGTTGAGAGTAGAGTGTAGAGAATAGAATAGAATAGAATAGAATAGAATAGAATAGAATAGAATAGAATAGAATAGAATAGAATAAATAGAATAGAATAGAATAGAATAATAGAATAACAGAGTTAGAAGGGGCCTTGGAATAGAATAGAAAATAGAGTAGAGTAGAGTAGAGTAGAGTAGAGTAGAGTAGAGTAGAGTAGAGTAGAATAGAATAGAAAAATAATAGAAGAAAGAATAGAATAGAATAGAATAGAATAGAATAGAATAGAATAGAATAGAATAGAATAGAATAGAATAGAATAGAGCAGAACAGAACAGAACAGAACAGAACAGAACAGAACAGGAATAGGAATAGGAATAGGAATAGAGTCAAGTCGAGTCGAGTCGAGTCTAGAGTGTAGAGTGTAAAGTGTAGAGTGTAGAGTGTAGAGAATAGAATAGAGAGTAGAGAGTAGAGAGTAGAGTGTAGAGAATAGAATAGAATAGAATAGAATAGAATAGAATAGAATAGAATAGAATAGAATAGAATAGAATAGAATAGAATAACAGAGTTGGAAGGGACCTTGGAGGTCTTCTAGTCCAACCCCCTGCTTAAGCAGGAAACCCTATACCATTTCAGACAAATAGTTGTCCAATCTCTTCTTTAAAACTTCCAGAGCTTTGGTGTATCTGAATCATGTACGGAAATGGTCAAATGACTGTATTTCTTTTGAAGTTTGGCTTGTGGCTCATGAATTAATTAGGGCATCTTTCGGAAAGTTCACAATAGAGGTTTTTTTTTTTAAAACCCTCTTCTTATTCCCCCCTCCCCAAAAGATACCACTGCTTTGGTTCTGAATGTTAAATGCATTGAAATATAGCAAGCATGAAAAAGTACATACTTTGGACAAAATGTCTTGTTCCATTCTGCTGTCTGTTCATTTGTGTTAGAACTGAATCATGCATTTTTAGCTTCTTATTATATGACACATGCTGAGACTCAGTTCGAAAGTCTCCTCACAAAAGGCAGTTGTGAAGCCCTTTCAGAAATTAGCAAAAGAAAGCAATTCTTCATGCCAAAATAATGCTTTAAAGAAGCTATTTTACGTTTTCTTTTAACAATTCATGTCCTATTAATGAAAAATAAAGCCAAGTGCTAGGAATCAGGAGTCATACGCCTAAATCAATGTATTGAAGATAAATCTAATAATCAAAGAGTCATTCAATTAAATCCAATAACCAAATATGATAAGGCTGATAAGGAAGATATGGTTCTAAAGAAAGACGATTTATGTCCATCACTAAAAGGAAACAAAACGTTGCTAACTATATCACACAATTTTGAGGAATCAGTATGTAAACTTGTATTCAATTCGGATTACAATAGAAATTAGCAACCCATATTGCTAATTTAAAATAGTGCATGTTATTTTCCTGTTGGATTCAGTCCAACCAGTTCAATCTGTTGATGCCCCATTTGAGAAAAGTGAAGATGAGGCTCAGAGACACTGCCTTTTGCTATCTGGGTTGGTCCTTTGGAACAGCTTTCCCACAAACATTTGGTAGGCTCCATCTTGCTGTGAAGTTTCCGAAAGATGCCCTAATTAATTCATGAGCCATGAGCCGAACTTCAAAAGAAATAGTCATTTATTAGGAGCACCATTTCGGCAATATTCGGATGCAGTTAGAACTAATCCCACGTAGATTTACATTCCCCTATGACTCTGTCTCTCCCCTCCTCTCTGGCCATGTCATAAATCACATTCTCCGATTAACCACTTTGGCTGGCTGTGAAATCCAACACCCTCCTTCTGATTGCGGTCAGGAAGAATGTATGGAATGCACTTCAGTTAGGGAAATCAATCAGCTCTATCAGTTCTCCCTCCCTCCTGCTCATGGCAACTTGAAAGCTTTGCAAGTTGACACTTGCCTTTTTCTCTGGAGGCTAAATATATATGAACAATGGTTGCAGGAACTGGGCATGTCTAGTTTAATGAAAAGGGGGATCAGGGGTGACATGATAGCAGTGTTCCAATATCTAAGGGGCCGATACGAAAAAGAAGGGGTCAACCTATTCTCCAAAGCACCTGAAGGCAGGACAAGAAGCAATGGATGGAAAGTAATCAAGGAGAGAAGCCATTTAGAACTAAGGAGAAATTTCCTGACAGTTAGAACGATTAATCAGTGGAATAACTTGCCTCCAGAAGTTGTGTGGCTGCTCCAACACTGGAGATTTTTAAGAAGAGACAGGACAGCCATTTGTCTGAAATGGGCTTCCTGCTTGAAAATGGTTTCCTGCTTGAGCAGAGGGCTGGACTAGGAAACTTCCAAGGTCCATAGTCTGTTTAAAAGCTACTCAAAACTGAGCAATTCTGGAGGCTTTGGAGCCTTGATTGCACCTCAGTTTGGTTGTAAGTCAGTTTTGTAGCTTAACAATTAATGAATCTTCCATGTGGTGCACTTTTCCTGATATTACGGTACTTCTTGTGTGTTTTAGCTTGTAAATTGCTAAGCATCCTCAGAGTTTGGCATCCTATGAACGTTCATGACAATAATAATAATTTTTCATGTCAACTCAAGTGGGAGCTCTTTAACCTTGGCAACTCAATGAGTGCTAGTAGTAAACAACAGAGAGTAGCAAAAGCTGTCTTTACTCCTCTGCCTCTCTGGAGGATGCCAAATTGTAGGGGCCTTATATAGAATTTCATCTGCCAACAGATTAGATCAGTTATATGTTATAATATTTCAAGTTATTGAGATAATACCTATTGTGAAATCCAGCAAAAAAAAAAAAAAAATTGGCACTTGGACCGCCTATGCAGATATTCCACTGGAAAACATAGAAGTGCAAGAAATAAAAAACCTGGAATGTGACATCTATATGCCTGTAGTTTATAAATATGAAGAGTCTACAATTTATATTATGCTATTTTCTTGGAAACTGTTAGTTGGACCAAATCCTTTGGATTAGTGCTTAATTTTTAAAACGTAAGTAATTGTGGCAATACATTCATCTGCCCTGAAATACCCCTATCAAAAAATGTTGGAAACGTAAGTGCTAAGTGAGGTACTCATCCTGTACGGTTTGTATACAATTATTGCTAGCAGAGTTATATGTTTCCATTGGTTTCTCCCCTGATCTTCCCATGCAGACTCTCAGCACAAAATGCATTTGCTATTCTTTCTAAATGTTGCTCTTTATAAATTCTATAAAGAGTGGAGCTTAGGAGCACATTGATTTGCAACCTCGGAGCCTTGGTGGCGCAGCAGACTAAAGTGCTGTTAAGTAACACCAGCTGCCTGCAATTACTGCAAGTTCAAATCTCACCAGGCTCAAGGTTGACTCAGCCTTCCATCCTTTCGAGGTACGTAAAATGAGGACCTAGATTGTGGGGGCAATAAACTGACTTTGTATTAAAAAAAAAAGAACACCGCTTAGGGGCCCCCGAAAGCCCTACTAAGCAGGTATATACAAAAAGTATGAAGGCTATTGCTTAACGCATTGTAAGCCACCCTGAGTCTCCGGAGAAGGGCGGCATATAAATCGAACCAATAAATAAATAAATAAATAAATAAACCTCGTTCTCCCTAAGAGTTTTCTAAGGGTCGCCACTTCCTTAATTATTAGGCTAAAACAAAGTTCGACGGCAAACTTGAAATTACATTACAGTTAGTCGTTGACTTACAATCACAGCTGGAAGCAGAATTTCCCAACAGAAGCAGAAGGCTAAGCAAGGCTATTGTTAAGTGTGTGCCACGCCCGATTTTACAATTTTTTGGCATGGTTGTTAAGTGAATCACTGAAGTTGCTAAGTGAATCCCGTGATGGTTAAGTGGATCTGGCTTTCCCGATTGACTTTATTGGAAGTTGGCTGAGAAGGTTACACCAACGCTGATCTATCTCTTTCCTCCAGCCTGGTGCTGATTGCATCGCATGCTGCTCCCCCAGATCATGCTGGCTGAGGAATTCTGGAAGTTGAAGTCCACAAGTCATAAAGTTGCCAAGGTTGCAGACCCCTGCCCTAGATGCCCCCCCCCCCCCGCAGTGCCATCAGTTAATACAACATGTAACATGTAGGATGTAACATCTGAAGGCAAGCTGTACCACTGGTATATTGTTCTCACTGTAAGGATAAATGTCCTGACACTGAGAACAATTAACTATTGGAACGGTTTGCCTTCAGAAGTTGTGGATGCTCCATCACTGGAGTGTCAGGTTTCGATATCGTCTCAAATAAAATAAATTGCATTTCCAAACAGATAGTCTTTGAAGAAATCTTTCATTTTATTAAGCACGACAATCTGCCCCCGATCGTGGCGTAGCCAACTCTGACTTCCTGACCCCAAACCTTCCCTTTCCGTTCCCCAAATCTCTGCATCTCATTGGCCTTCTTCCAAATCACTCTTCCCATATCTACTACTTAAGCTCCCAGGAATGTCCCCCCTCCCTCTCATCTCCTAGGGGATATTATCTTCAAGGAAAATAAGTAGGTGAAATGTCAAGCGTCCTCTTGCCAGCTGCCCCCTCTTCTCCTTCTTATGTCAGCACTAGAGTAAATGCAGGTTGAAGTGCTGACATGGAGGTTGTTAAGAAGGGCAGTGGTGGGATTCAAATAATTTAAAAACCGGTTCTCAGCCCTAATGACCGGCTGGGTGGGCGTGGTCATGGTGGGCATGGCCAGGGGACGTGATAGGTAGCACTTGGCCTCCTGCATTCCCCCTGGGAGCAAAAACGTGCCGCAGGAGGGCACACCGCACACACCCCATGCCCCGTTTTGGCCCTAGGAGGCCTCCCTGCACTTACCTGGCAACTAAAATGGGGTGTGTGGGGACTCCTAGAAGGGACGGGATGAGAAGAAGTGGAGCCAGCCAGCAATTTAACCACCGGTTCGCCCGAATCAACCCAAACCGGCTGAATCCCACCATTGAAGAAGGGGTCAGAAAGCTATTTGTCTGGGATGGTATAGATCTCCTGCTTGTGCAAGGGTTTGCACAAGACAATCTCCAAGGGTCCTTCTAACTCTTATTCTGTCACGAAGACAAAGTGATGATTGTTACTATTCCTTTACTCCTAAAACAACTGATGAATCTTTCTCCCCATACAGTCCTCTAAGGGAAAGACTGACTATGCTGCTCTCCCAAGACATGGATCACCACACCACGCCTCTTCTCACCCCAACCTCAGGTCTCCTGCAACAAAACCATCCTCAGGCAGAAACCTCGAACCCTTTGGGAAGCCACGAGGCCACTACCTTGTCCAAGGAGCCTGGGTTAGAGAAAAACAGCACAGCTTCACAGTATGAGTTGATGCCTGAAGAAATCATCATTGCCAGCTTGCTTTGGGGGTTGTTATGGTTATTCTCCATCTTCGGAAACTCCCTGGTTTGCCTCGTCATCTACAGGAGCAGGAGGACTCAATCGACCACCAATTATTTCGTGGTCTCCATGGCCTGTGCAGACTTGCTGATTAGTGTTGGGTGCACACCGCTTGTTCTGTTCCAGTTAGCGTCTGACGGATGGACATTGGGGAGCATGATGTGCAAGACAATCAGGTATTTTCAGTATCTCACCCCCGGGATTCAAATTTATGTCTTGCTTTCCATCTGTGTTGACAGGTTCTACACTATCGTCTACCCGCTAAGTTTCAAGGTGACGAGGGAAAAAGCCAAAAAAATGATTGCGGCGTCTTGGATCTTCAATTCAGCCTTGATGTCTCCGGTTTTCATTTTTGGGGGCTTGGACGGAGACCATCACTGCCGATTTTTCCCTCCTTATTCTTGGGATGGCGCCGTTTATAGCATCATCCATGTATTAGTAGCTTTCCTGATTCCATCAGTTCTCATCATTTTCTTTTACCAAAAAGTCATCAAGCACATTTGGAAAATCGGGAGCGAGGGCAGAACAGTCCGGAGGACGATGAACGTGGTCCCTAGGACAAAGGTGAAAACAATCAAAATGTTCCTGATGTTAAATGCTCTCTTTCTGCTCTCGTGGCTCCCATTTTACGTGGTCCAACTGTGGCACCCGCTTGAGACTGATCGTAGGAAAAGCGCCTTGGTCTTTTTGATGGTGACTTGGATATCGTTTAGTTCCTCGGCCTTGAAACCTATGTTGTATTCGGCATATAATGCCAACTTCAGGAGGGGGATAAGAGAGACTTTCTGCATGTCCTCCATGAAATGTTACCGGAGTAATGCCTACACCATCACAACCAGCTCCAAGATGGCCAAGAAAAATTACGTGGGGATCTCAGAATTCCCCGTTGTGCCAAAAACTGTTTCCAAAGACACCATATACGATTCTTTCAACAGAGAAGCAAAAGAGAAAAAACTTGCCTGGCCTATTAATTCAAACCCACCAAACACATTTGTATAATTAATGCCGCCGGTCCTTTCAAAGGCTCTTCCTTTGAACAGATGCCATCTACATGAAGGATTTCCATACAACTGAGCAGGGAAAATAAATGCTTTGTTTTATTGAGTCCATTTATTTTATCCTACGGCACATTGTTTTAAAGCTGCAGACTTCTTTAGAATAACCCAGGGGTGGGGGCTGCTGGGGGTTCGCAGGGGTTCAGGACAACCTCTAGCTATCAGATTTTTTCTTATTTCCCTCCCCAAAAACTAAGGTGTGTCTTATACTCCGGTGCATCATATACTCCGAAAAATATGGTACTCGTGTCATTTTGTGCAGCAAGATCGCAATATGGGTGATATCGCACACATCCAGTCTATAGATCTCCATGGAAGACAATATCAAGTACCTTCAGCGATATGTACCAATTTGGCGTGCGCTCCAATCGGAAGATTTAAGTTCAGGGTCAGATTGGAGAATTAAAAAAACAACAACAACAGCTCAAATTTACTTTGGATTTATTTTCAAGCCTCCTTACTCTACTTGGCAACCCAAATCTGAACCACCAGCGAATACTATTTGAAATCAGTAAACAGCTGTATTGTTGCAAATGTAACGTCACTCGATGAAACATGCTTGGCCAGAAGAGTCAGTATTTTGGCCACATTCCCAAGATTTTTAAAGGGGAGTCAAGGCAATTAAGAAGCATTTATTTTCCTTTAACACAGGCCCCAGATCTGGCTTCTGGAGTCTCCAGGAGTCAGTCTCCGAGTGAAGGAAAAGCTCCACGTCGTCATCAAAACTCCCATTACCATAAGAGACTGCAGAGTGTGAATCAGAGACCTGCAGTGTAACACAAAATATTTGTTAAGTTCTAGGTTGCTTTATGTTCTTGGTGCTGCAGGCTGGCTTAGGTTCAAAACCAGTCAGTCCTCAATCTTCTCCTCTTGTGTCCCAAAGGGGCTTTTTCAAGAGGCAACTGGACTTTTCTGGTTTTTCTTTGAAGACGTTTCGCTTCTCATCCAAGGATGAGCTGAAGAAACTTCTTGGATGAGAAGTGAAACGTCTTCAAAGAAAAAAACAGAAAGTCCAATTCTGGATGACCGAGAATCTCCCATCGACTTCTCCTCTTGTGTAACTGTCAGCCCCATATGCAGGGTGGATTTGATTTAAATCACATCGATTTAAATCAGGTCGATTTAAATCACGTCGATTTAAATCACGTCGATTTAAATCATGATTTTTAAAGAGCGACTGTCATCTCTGTCCCGCAGCAGCTCCTCCTTTGACCTGCCGTTGGCTCACCGACAGTCCCAATATTGCAGAATATACAGCCTCGTGCTACATAACTAAGCTCCATTGCATGCGGAATAAACTAAATTATTAGTGTTATCTTAAATAGAAAACTATCCTTAGATACATTTTTACTCCAAAAGCGTTTTATTAAAATAAATTTGATAAAAATAAAAAAAAAATCTGATTTAAATTTTTAAAAAATCTGATATTTTTTCCTTTTTTTAAAAAAAAGCATCGATTTTTATCCACATGCCTACCCCACAGGTCCCGGTGAGCAGCAAAAGACAAAAATCTCTCTCAGACCATCTGGAAATACTAGAGCACGGTTTTTTAACCTCAGCAATTTTAAGATGTTTGGACTTCAAATCCCAGAAAGCCCCAGCCAGTAAAATGCTGGCTGGAGTTGTCTGGGAATTGAAGTCCATGTACCTTAAAGTCTCTAAGGCTAAGAAACATTGAGATCAGGGAATTAAACCCTGGCTTTGGAAAGTTAAGGCCAGCGTATCAGAGCCTCGGATTCCATTTGCAAAGGAAAAAAATTCACTGCTCCTTTGAGGTTTTACAAATACTGCAATTTATTGTTTATTCCTTTTAGCAGCTGGATAGCAGCTTGGCGTCATAGTGTGAAGGAGGTTGCACATTTTTACCCAATTGCCATAAGACGACTGAAAAATCACAATCTTCCATACAGAAAAAGGAAGCTTTCATTAAAACAGTTTTGTTTTAATACATATAAACAAAGTACGTTCGTTGTTGTTGTTTTGTTTTCTGAGCTGCTGGGTTTGGGTGTTTCTGACATGATGTTTCAACCCCCTGCCCTCTGTCGGTAACCCTTTTCAATAAAGGACGGCAAAGGCTTTGTTACATTCATTTTAATACAAAAGGGCAGACTTTTGGTCTTACGATAACTCAACTGTTTTGTCCCCTACAGCAAAAATACACGCAGTGTTAGGTTGTTAAGTTGCCAATATTATTCCCTTCCCAACACTCAATACTACAGATGCACCGATTCCGTGAAACGGAAAATACAAAACATCCTGTATGCTGCATTCATTGGCTAGCCTTTCTCCATAAATTCGCAGGCCCTTTTTACCTTTTTATGTCAAAAGCAGACAATATGGTCTTGCAACCAAGAGAGAAAAGGCAAGGGGAAGGGAATGGGCAAGCTGCTTCTGTTCCCCCCTTTCTCTAGCCAGCTAGGTGGGGTATCTTCCTTATAAAACCTCTCCACGACTGCATTGAGCGGAAGAAGAAAAAAAAGACTGCAATGATTTTGACTCATCAACTCCTATTAATAAGCAGCCTAAGCGAAGACGCAATCAGGCAAGTTTAGAAAATATAAACTAACCCCACGACACTTCGCTGCTGAAGAGTTACTCCGCTGCTGCTCAAATGACTCATTCGCCTACCGTGTTTCCCCGAAAATAAGACCTGATCTTATATTAATTTTTGCTCCAAAAGACGCACTAGGGCTTAGGTCTTATTTGAGGGGAAATGCGATACTAAATGGACCCATCTGGCTGGCAATCTTAACTGGGGCTTATTTTGGGAGTAGGGCTTATATTACGAGCATCCTGAAAAATCATGCTAGAATTTATTTTCCAGTTGGGTCTTATTTTTGGGGGAAACAGGGTAATTAATGAAGTCTTGAATTTAGCACTGAACTTAGTTTAAACGGTCAACTCAATCCACAAAGGGCTGGTTGTGTGCTAAGACAGCGACAGCAGTATCACACCAGGCACCCGCGACACGACACACCACGAAGACGATGATCTGTGCATGCAGCGGCAACGAAAAGAGGGGTTGCTTGGCCGAAGAGTCCCACGATTGCAACCTCACACATCCTAACAATCCGTACCAATATCTTCACCCCATACTGCAGGCAGGGCACCCTCGCTTTATGTACATCATCTTACGACCGAGATGACACGGGAGTCAAAGACTTCACAATTCCACAAGTACAGACTTAACTCCACTAGTTCAGAGACATCTGAAGGAAAAGAAGGCGGCGACATATTGGCCATCTAGAGCAAAGTATTATCAGCATGCGCTATACCGGTATTTTTTCAAACTTGACCGCTTAAGGTCCATGGACTTCAACTACCAGAATTCTCATCAATGGCCATGAAGGTTAGGGAATTCTGGGAATTGAAGTCCGAGCGTCTTAAAATGGCCCCGTTTGAAAAACACTCTGATATATATATATATATATATCCAATGCAAAACAGGCTATCCCGTGAATAATAAACTCTACTTCTCTATATATATAGTATTTTCCTTAAATAAACACTAAATACAGTAAATAATAAAAAACGAAATCAAAAGCATAATTATAGGCCTGAACGCAACAAAGGAGAGTTTGGTGGCCCAATCCCTAGGAAAAACAGGTGTCTCCCCTTTTTCTCAGCCACTTCTACCCACAAAATGTACCCGAGTTTCTAATACATTTTGGAATAAACTTGGGGTTGACGTAATCTCGGGCCTTTCCTTCTCTGCTTCAAGCAGCTATTCCTGCAGACACCGGGATGTTGTTTAATTAGATCAAATGGATCGAAAGGATTTTACTTCTGCCCTCTTGCTGTCAGGCTCATTTGGAAAGTCAGCTCAAACTTCCAACTGCAGTAGAGCTGTACAGATGATATGGCCAAGGATGAGCACACGAAGTCCGTAGATTACTGCTTTTTTTTTTTTTTTTTAAACATCTTCGTTGTTGTTGTTGTTTAAAATAGGGGCTTCAGTCTGCTTGGACTGACCTTCACCCTGGAAGAGAAAAGAAACGTGTTTTACATTAGAGTTTTATGTGGTCAGACCCCAATTCTGCAAGCGGGTGTTTTTATTTAATTTATTTACAGCCAACTAAAATAAGTGGTGAAATCCTCTGCGGGTTGCGACCGGTTTGCTGGCCGCGCATGTGCGCGGCACACCAAACGCATGCTATGTGCACGCATGCACACTGAATGCCAAACGCACGCTGTGCATCAGTGGGGAAATGTAAAATTTGTTACTACCGGTTCTGTGGGCGTGGCTTGGTGGGGGGGAGGGTAATGTGACTGGGTGGGCGTGGCCAACTTTTTTTTTTTTTTACTTTTAAAAGCATTTTTTCTACAACCTTAAGAGGTTGCAGAAAATAATGCTTTTAGAAGCCTCTGACGATCAGGCATCTCGGCTGGGATCGCCAGAGGCTTTTAAAGGCATTTTTTTTTTCTACAACCTCTTCAGCCAAAGAGGTTGCAGAAAAAAAATGCTTTTAGAAGCCTCTGATGATCCCAGCTGAGCCGCACGATCATCAGAGGCTTTTTTTTAAAAAACTTTTAAAAGCATTTTTTTGGCCAAAGAGGTTGTAGAAAAAATGCTTTTAGAAGTTAAAAAAAAAAGCCTCTGATGATCGCACGGCTCAGCTGGGCATGGGAGGGGGGGGCAGGGATATTTGCTACCGGTTCTCCGAACCGCCCGCCGACATCGCTACCGGATCGGGCAATCCGGTCTGAACCGGTAGCATTTCACCCCTGCTGTGCATGCATCTATGCAGTGCGCACAAAATGCATGCTTCTTGCGGGAAAAGGAGCCGTTTGAAGGTAAGTAGAACAGCGAGGGGGGAAACAGCTGCGCCGCGCGATTTAGATTCGCTAGAAATCAGGATTTCCTGCTTTCTAGCGAATTTAAATCGCGCAGCACAGCTGATCATCGGAAATACCGGTTTGGACAAACCGGTAGCTTTTTTCTACTACCAGTTCACCTGAACAGGTAGCTTTTATTACTACCGGTTTGCCCAAACTGGTGCGAACCGGTAGCATTTCACCCTTGTACTGGACGCAATCCTTGCCTGAGGATCCTCACATGGGGTGGAAGTTAAAGGCAAGAGAAGGAGCACAGCATAAACATGATGGCACGTTGGCTTTTGCTCAGATCCAAATCCACCTGAATGCTACACTAGAAGGAAGCAGCAACAGGGGTGTCGTTTCCGAGGAGCCTGGAGTGAAGCTCCACTCCCAGTATTTTCATTTTAAGCCACGAGAGTCATAAGCCGAGGCATCCCGCCTTTTTTGCAGCCACCGTAAAGCAAACATGATGGTCGTAGAGCGCCAATTCTTATGGGTGGGGTTTTTTTTCTTTCTTTCCTGGAAATCGATCGAAAAGGCTGGAGACCGGCAAAAACTGTCGTAGATCGTGGCCACAACATGACTGTGGAAATCTGCAACCAGCTGAAAAGTGAGCCAGCCAGCCAAGCGCTCAAAATATGATCATGTTTCTGGGGAGAGTGGAGAGTGCCGATTTCCAGAACTGGGTCATAAGTATCTATTTGCGGGGGATGGGTTCCTACCAGTAGCAAGAACTACTGGTACTCAAGACTGCCAAGGAGGTCTGGGAAGAAATTCAACCTCAGCCAGACCCCTGATCTAAACAGCCTTTCTCCTTTGAGGAAGGTAGGTAGATTTCACCCCGGAGTAAGGTGGACAATGAATGGCCCCTCCCAGAGGGAATAAAAGAGGAGCGAAAGGGGAGTGGAGTTTACAGGAGACAACTAGTTCATTCCTGCATTCTCCCAGGGTGCGCATGCGCAGAGTTGCCAGACGAAGGGAACAGCTAAAGAACAAGGGTCGACTAGGGAGTAAGGCTGCAGGTGGACGATGAATGGCCCCTCCCAGGGGAACAAAAGGGGAGTGGAGTTTTACAGGAGACGATTAGTTCATTCCTGCATTCTCCCAGGGTGCGCATGCGCAAAGTTGCCAGACGAAGGGAAAAGCTAAAGAACAAGGGTCGACTTGGGAGTAAGGTCGCAGGTGGACAATGAATGGCCCCTCCCTGGAGAGCAAAAGAGGAGTGGAGATTGCAGGAGACAATTAGTTCATTCCTGCATTCTCCCAGGGTGCACATGCGCAGAGTTGCCAGACGAAGAGAACAGCTAAAGAACAAGGGTCGACTTGGGAGTAAGGCCGCAGGGGACGATGAATGGCCCCTCCCAGGGGAACAAAAGGGGAGTGGAGTTTGCAGGAGACGATTAGTTCTTTCCTGCATTCTTGCCAAGTATTGCGGCGTCTGAAAGATATCGGCCTGGCCACTCTCCAAGCCTGATAAAGGTCGGTGATTGTGAACTATCTTGAAAGACTGCGGGAGAGGAAAGACTTAGCTGGAGAGGAATTCACTGTAAATTAAATAAAAGGGGTTTATCGGGATGAGGACTCAGCTTCCTGCTGCTGGGGAAGCCTAGGTCAGAACAGATGGCAGCCATGGAGCCTTGATAGTACAGTGGTCTAAGGCACCCTGTTATTAAGCTGGTTATTAAGACCACCTGCCTGCAATTTACTGCTGGTTCGAATCTCTCCAAGGCTCAAGGTTGACTCAGCCTTCCATCCTTTCTAAGGTAGGTGAAATGAGGACCCAGTTTGTGGGGGCAATAAGCTGACTTTGTATAAAACATACAAAAGTATGAAGGCTATTGCTTAACGCATTGTAAGCCGCCCTGAGTCTCCGGAGAAGGACGGCATATAAATCAAATTTAAAAAAAAAAAACTATCTCCTGGGAACCAGATTATGACAGGTTTATTTTTTTTATTTTTTTGGCACCCTGCCTGCCTGCCTCTGCCCACGGCCGTAACGAAGTGAAGAATGGCGTAAACTGGAGCTTACTGGAACTGTGGCTGTTGGAGTCGCTCTTTACGGCTCTGGCCATCTTGCCGACGTTCTGCTGAGGCTTGCTTTGCTCTTCTCCGCTCAGGAGAGCTTTAATTTCAGAGGGGATTTTTCCTTGGTCCATTGCCATGCACCACTGCTTGTACTGAAAGAGAAAGACGCAACGCAAAAAAAAAAAAAAGAGACGTTAAATCGTATTCCAAGTTTTTAGAACTTGGGAGGTTCCCGACATTTATTGCTCCTGTGTTATATAAGCTTTGGAATAAATTATAAATCTGCCTAAATAAATCCGGGTTTCGGCATTTCACACAACTTCATGAGCCGTAAGAGCAAGACTCCAGCAAGGATTCAATATAGGTAGTCCTCGACTTACAACCACAATTGAGCCCAAAATGTCTGTTGTGAAGTGAGACATTTATTAAGTGAGTTTTGCCCCATTTTAGGAACTTTCCTGCCGCAGTTGTACAGTGAATCACTGCAGTTATCCCTAAGGTGCCTTTTCAAGAGGCAATTGGGACTTTCTGGTTTTTCTTTGAAGACGTTTCGCTTCTCATCCAAGAAGCTTCTTCAGCTCTGACTGGATGGTGGGGAATGGAAGGATTTATACCAGTGGTGAAATGTAAATTTTGTTACTACCGGTTCTGTGGGCGTGGCTTGGTGGTGGTGGTGGGGTAATATGACTGAGTGGGCGTGGGCAACTTTTTTTTTTTTATTATTTCTTTTAAAACCATTTTTCTACAACCTCTTTGGCTGCAGAGGCTTTTTCTTTTTTTTTAAGCCTCTGACAATCGCAGCTGACTTGCCTGATCAGCAGAGGCTTTGTTTTTACTTTTAAAAGCATTTTTTCTATAACCTCTTTGGCCGAAGAGGTTGTAGAAAAAATGCTTTTAAAAATTTTTTAAAAAGCCTCTGATGATTGCGTGGCTCAGCTGGGCAATGGGGGGGGGAGCAGGGATTTTTGCTACCGGTTTTCCGAACCACCCGCTTCCATCGCTACCGGATCGGGCGATCCGGTCCGAACCGGGAGCATTTCACCCCTGATTTATACTCCTTGCAGACAGCTGGTCATTTGCACCTGAGTGGTGCAAACTCAGGTGACCTTGACAAGACAGATATACCATACACCGCCAGGAGGCCTCAAAGACTCTCTAAAAGGATGCAAATGACCAGCTGTCTGCAAGGAGTATAAACCCTTCCATTCCCTACCATCCTCTCAGAGCTGAAGAAGAAGCTTCTTGGTAAGAGATGTGAAAGGTCTTCGAAGAAAAACAAGAAAATCCAGTTGCCTCTTGAAAAAGCACCTTTGGGACAACTATGACCTGGATGACTGAGAATCTACATAGACATCACTGCAGTTGATAAATTAGTAATACTAATACTAATACAATATAGTTGTTAAGTGAATCTGCCTTCCCGATTGACTTTTGACTTTGTCAAAAGCTGCAAAATGGGATCCCATGACCTTGGGACACCACAACAGTCATAAGTATGAACCAGCTGCCAAGCATCTGAATTTTGACCACGTGATCATAGGGATGCTAAAAATGGTCATAAGTCGCTTTTTTTCAGTGCCGTTGTAACTGAGTGGTCACTAAATGATTTATTGTAAGTGGAGGACTGCCCGTATCCTGCAAAGTTATGCGCTCTTCTTTCAAGCAAATAGGAGGGACAAGGAAACAGACGTGAAATGTTGAAAAGGTACATATGTAAAAATGTATGCAAATCTGCATAGTGCCTGCATAACCTTACATTCTGCTTTTTCTTTTTTTTTGGTACAATTTTTTTTTATTTTCTTTTGATACAAACATTACATCTCTCATTAAACAGTGTGTCATCTTGGTATAAAGTTCTTTGTGTCTTAACAATTAAACTTACCACCATATTCATTTCTTACATTCATTTTTATATTAACACTAAATAATAATAATACTAATAAAATAACATAAACCTAACATTTTTCTTCTTAACTTATCTAACTTTACAATATATTGCTTTCATATTTATTCTCTAGCCATTGATAAAATAACTCCCATATGTTATAATAATCTGATTGTTCCTTTCCTTGAATTGCAAGTGTTAATCTATTCATTTCTCCACATTCTAATATTTTCTTAACCACATTTTCATCTGTAGGGATCTCTTTGCCTTTCCAATTTTGTGCAAATATGATTCTAGCTGCTGTTATTACATGGATAATCAGATATACAGTTTCTTTTCTGTAAGTTCCCGGTAAAATCCCCAACAGGAATAGCTCAGGTTTTAAATCGATATGCTGTTGCGTCCTCTTCTCCAGCCACATACACATTTTTGCCCAATATCTTAAATTCTGCTTTTTCTGACCCTGAGCATCAGCTGCCATCATTCAGGACCTTTAAAGGTCAAAGCCGGCACAATTGGCAAGTCGCCTTTGTCGATTTGTCTTTCATTTTCAAGAAATTCCACACAGCTTTTTGAGAAACAGTTCTCAAAGCCACTCACGGAGTAAAAATAGATGATGACGACAAACGAAAATGTCTGCCCTAGTTCTCACGTGTTCTTCCTTGAGCAGGCTTCTTCCGTCATGAAAGCCTCGGTGACAAAAAATGGTTCTCGGCAGCTTCCCACTTTCAAGATGTCCCACCAACAAGAGTTGTTGGAACTCTTTGCCACTGGGCACACCTGATGCACTGTGAGTTGAGCTGTTGAGCTCCAGGCCCACGGTACAACGAGGAAGGGCTAATCCTTATTAAGACTCCATCTGCATGAACCTTGAGCCCACAATGCTAGGGGGCCCATCGGATTGTTACCTAGGATTACATGCATTGAAAGTTTGCTAATGTGACACCTGGCAAGATCTTTGTTTAGGGCAGGGGTCGGCAACCTTAAACACTCAAAGAGCCACAAAGGTCCTAACTCGAAGCCTCCTGTTCAATTCTGGAGCCGACCGGAAGTCCAGTTCCCCCACCATAGAGTCTCCTCCTAGCGTGGCGTCCTTTTTCCTCTACCTGTCCTAACCAAAAGCCCTATCAATTGTGGAGCTGACCAACAACAGGGAGCTGCAGCAGAGAGACAAAAGAGCCACATGCGGCTCCAGAGCTGTGGGTTGCTGACTCCTGGTTTAGGGAAATAGCAATAGCACTTATTTTATTTTTTATTTTTATTTGATTTATATGCCACCCTTCTCCGGAGACTCAGGGCGGCTTACAATGCGTTAAGCAATTAGTATATAAGCACTTAGTATATAAGCACTTAGACTTATATACTGCTTCACAGTGCTTTATAGGCCTCTCTAAGTTGTTTACAGAGTCAGCCTATTGTCCCCAACAATCTGCGTCCTCGTTTTACTCACCTCGGACGGATGGAAGCTGAGTCAACCTTGAGCCTGGTGAGATTCAAACTGCCGAATTGTAGGCAGCCGGCAGTCAGCAGAAGAAGCCTGCAGTACTGCCCTCTAACCACTGCACCACTGTGGCGCAATCAAATGGGGGTGGATTGTGGATAACCAAGGAGTCAAGCTATGCAGGAAGACACGGCGGGAATAATGGGAAATTTCAACTACCCCAACATCAGCTAGGAATCAAACTCACTAGCGATCAATTGCACCTCAGTCAGAAAACTCAGGAACTTTTTTTAAAAAAAAAAAACTTTGGGGAACGGGAAAAGCAAAAGGGAAAACAGAAAAGAGGGGAAAGGAAAAAGGGAAGAGACGCTTACCATTTCCAGTTCTTCTCTAAGAGCACAGATGGCTCTTTCCCGGCTTGAAACCAGCTCTTCCAAATATTGGTACCTCAGTTTCTTCCTCGCTCTGCATTCCCTCGCGCTCTGCCGGCTCCTCTCGAGTTTGGCTTTCAAATCTATTTTAGCTGGTTTACGGCCCCGTTTACCTGGTTTCTTCACTTTGCCACCAGCTACCTGGGGTAAAAAAAAGAGAAGAAGGTAAGAAAATCTATTGTGAAGGATGTACACAGATGGGTTTCTCTGGAACGACCGCTATGAAAAAAAACAAACCCCGAGCATTAGAAACCAACTGTGAGGGAGACAGATTTGAGAATCCTAGAGATAAGCCAGCCTTGCCTGAAACCACGAACCTTTTATTCCAGTTTAATCTAGGCCAGAATTTCTCAATCTCAGCAACTTTTGAAGCTATGTCAACTTAAATTCCCAGAATTCCCTACCTGACTGAGGAAGTTGCTGAGTTTGAGCACAAGAGCATCACATGTGGCATCTTGATAATCCTGAATAAAATGATTGATTCTCACAAGTATGATGACAAACAGCACAGTGGTGGAATTCAATTTTCTTTTACTACCGGTTCTGTGGGCGTGGTATGGCTTGGTGGGCGTGGCTTGGGCATGGCAGGGGAAGGGTACTGCAAAATCTCCATTCCCTCCCCACTCCATGGAAAGGATGCTACAAAATTCCCATTCCCTCCCCACTCCAAGGGAAGGATGCTGCAAAATCCCCATACCCTCCCCACTCCTGGGGGAAGGATACTGCAAAATCCCCATTCCCTCCCCACTCCTGGGGGAAGGATACTGCAAAATCCCCATTCCCTCCCCACTCCAGGGGAAGGATACTGCAAAATCCCCATTCCCTCCCCACTCCTGGAGGAAGGATACTGCAAAATCCCCATTCCCTCCCCACTCCTGGGGGAAGGATACTGCAAAATCCCCATTCCCACTCTACTCCAGGGGAAGGACGCTGCAAAATCCCCATTCCCACCCCACTCCTGGGGCCAGCCAGAGGTGTTACTTGCCGGTTCTCCGAACTACTCAAAATTCCCACTACCGGTTCTCCAGAACCTGCTGGATTTAACCCCTGCTATAATCCCTGGATGGGGGACCACCAGGAAATCAAAGATACATCTTTGGGAGAAAGGAAGGGCCAAAAGGGCCTTTACTTGGGGCCAAGGAAGCTGCACAGTTATCTTCTGACTCGCCTGGAGGAAATATTTATCCATTTTAAAAGTAGGGAATTAATTAATTTTTTTCCCCAGGGGGGAAAAATTGTAATCCAAGAGGGGGAAAAGTCACAGGAAAAGGGCCAAAATGCATCTTCTTAGCACACAAAACCACTCCTTTCATGGGGGGGAAAAATCCCCAGGGGTGGTTGGGAGAAGAGCCCATTATAGCAGTTGCCGAGGCGAGCAGTTTCCATTTCATCCTTGGACAAGGCACCACCAAGAAATCCCAGGGCTGACCAAGAGGAGGCAGAGAGCAGGCCCTTTTTCTTGACTTTATTTATTTTGGAAAATTTAGTTCATAAATCTCTGTATGAAGGCCCAAGGCGGGTCAAAATTGAGGCCCGGGAGGCGGTTGGGGACGATTTGGATTTTTGGATGGGAGACCACGAAGAAATCCCAGGTCCAAAGCACCCCGGAAGAAGGCGGCCAACCTCTGAAAGCCCCGCCCCCCCGGGAGCCCCTCCCAACCTACTCACTTTGCTTTCGTCCATTAGGCCGCTGGGAGGGTCTCCTCCGCCGTCGTCGTCGCCGCTGCCGCCCGCTAATCTGGATCCGGGCTCCGAGGAGAACCAGGCGCTCCCTCCATGGCAGGCCGCCGGCTGCTTCCCGTCTCCAGGACACGGCGGGGGTATCCCCGGAGCATCTCGGGAAGTGTAGTTCCTCCCCCTCCCCTCTTCAGCCAGAAAGAGAAGGCCGCTTCCGCAAACGGACTACAGCTCCCAGAAAGCATCAGCAAGCAGACGCGTGAATGACGTAGAAGTTGGGGGCCCCCGGAGAGCTTCCCGACGAAAGGAGCGACGCAAGGACCATAGACTCACGAATATAAGGCCATAGATCTAGGTTGGGATAGAATGATGCAAGACCTCTAAGGCCCCTTCCAACTCTGTTACTGTTACATCACTATAGAGCTGCAACCATCAGACGGCCACTAGAGGGCAGCCAAAAGATGTTCCTCGTGCCGCCCTCTAGTGGAGGCCGGGATGGTTGCAGCTCGGAGAGTGTCAACCTATTGCAGCATGGAGTCCGAGTCTTCAAATCCTTGAGGAGTGTCCCCCCCCAAAAAAAGGTCCAGATTGGGGCTGCAATTGGTGTAGGGTTTCGTGCTTGAGCAAGGGGTTGGACTGAATGACCTGTAAGGTCCCTCCCAACTTTGTTAATCTGTTATTATGTGTGTTGCAGGAGAGATTTAGAAGGAACAGGGCTTGGATCAGAGAAGTGCCACCTGGACGTTTTGGAGCCAATTCTAGAGCCAAACCCTCTCAGAGTCGATCCAAAATTGCTTTTCCCAGAGGCAACTGGACTTCCTTGTTTTTTATTTGAAGACGTTTCACTTCTCATCCAAGAAACTTCTTCAGCTCTGACTCAGTGGTGAAATCCAATTTTTTTTTTACTACCGGTTCTGTGGGCGTGGCTTGATGGGCATGGTGTGGCTTTAGTGGGCGTGGCAAGGGAAAGATACTGCAAAATCTCCATTCCCTCCCCACGCCTGGGGGAAGGATATTGCAAAATCTCCATTCCCACCCCACTCTGGGGCCAGCCAGAGGTGGTATTTGCTGGTTCTCCGAAGTGCTCAAAATTTCTGCTACCGGTTCTCCAGAACCTGCTGGATTTCACCCCTGCTCTGACTGGATGGTGGGGAATGGAAGGATTTATATTCCTTGCAGACAGCTAGTCATTTGCATTCTTTTCGAGCAGGGGGTGTCAAACTCGCGTCGTCATGGCGGCGTCAAGTGACGTATCATGACTTTTTTCCCCTTTGCTAAACCGGGCGTGGGCGTGGCCAGCGCGTGACACATCTGGCCCGCAGGCTGCAAGTTTGACAGCCATGTTGTCAAGAGTCGTTGAGGCCACTTCGAGGTTTACCTGTGTCCCCTGGGTCACCTGAGTGGTGCAAATGGTTCCTATAGATAAACCTCCAAGTGGCCTCAACGACTCTCTAAAAGGATGCAAATGACCAGCTGTCTGCAAGGAATATAAATCCTTCTATTCCCCACCATCCAGTCAGAGCTGAAGAAGCTTCCTGGATGAGAAGTGAAACATCTTCAAAGAAAAAACAAGGAAGTCCAGTTGCCTCCTGAAAAAGCACCTTTGGGACACCCTCACCTGGATGATTAAGAATCTCCATAGACCTCCAGAGTCATATTAATTTAAGAGTGTTAACCAGAGCTTTTTTCTGAAGATTCTGCATTGATGTCAGGTATGGCCAAAGTCCCAATCTTCCTCATTCCGTCGCATCTTGGAGGACTTTATATTTAACCCTTGGCTTTTCCCCTTGCCATGCAAACACCTAGATATATCTTTCTGCCATTCCCCCGGTCTCCAAACTTGGCCATTTTAAGACTAGTGGACTTCAACTCCCAGAATTCCCCAGGCAGCCATGTTAGCTGGGGAATTCTGGGAGCTGAAGTCCAGAAGTCTTAAAGTGGCCATGTTTGGAGACCTCTTAAACGCTGCAGTGTTGTTAAAATAGATGAAATTGTTTGAAATGAAAACAACATGAATTCTAGGCAGTCCTTTAAATTTTATAACAGTGATTCTCCCCAAAAGTAACCACTGTAGTTTCTCTCATCTTAACGTGACTTTAAACTTTAAACCCCTGCTCACCTTAACAAAAAGGCAGGCAGTTTTGGTGGACATTATTATTTCATAATAATTAGTTCATTGTTAATTTTAAATATATATATAATAAAAGCTTAAGGTCCTCTGAGTGGTACATAGAAACCATGTTCAATAACATGTTGGTACAGCCAACATTGTCAATCTCTTTTTTTGTATGTTACTGGGGTCAAATTGTGTTTTAAACCTTATTTGAGAGAGAGAGAGGATGGGGGGGGGAGAGAGAGAGAGAGAGAGAGAAAGCACCCAATTGATGGCTATGATCTTAAATCACTTTTAAAAACTGCAGCTAGGACATCACTGCTTTAATGCAAGGACACACAGCCACAGCCTGTCGGGAGAGGGAGAGGGAGGAAAGTTACGAACTTTATCTCGATGCATCAAATATTTTCACCCGGGAGAAACCTGAACTCTTTCCAAAGATAACTTCAGGACAATAGCACTAGCACTTAGACTTAAATACCGCTTCACAGTGCTTTTACAGCCCTTTCTAAGCAGTTTACAGAGCCCCCCAACAATCTGGGTCCTCATTTTACCGACCTCGGAAGGACGGAAGGCAGAGCCACTCAGAATTGAACTCCTGGAGTGAGCAGTGAGCGCAGTGCTGCATTCTAACCACTGCGCCACTATGGCTCTTGAAGAAGCTAGGAGCTGAATGCTGGCTCTAAGGAAGCATGAAGGATCTGGCTGTACAATGGATAAAAAAACTCAATGCTATGGCCAGAATTGAAAAGTAAAACTGAGCCCTGAACTAATTTATAGCTTTCGTAGTCCTGAAGCGGCAATAGACCGCAAAAACCACACGGAATGATTGCCCAACAATTATGGCAATCACAGAGGTGCGGAGAAGAAGAAAAAGTGGGCGCGTCATGAGAAATTCATTAAATGCTTTGAGCTTAAATCAGACACGAGAAGATGACTGTCCTTTATGTGCTGGATTTCTGCTAGGGCATTGTTCGTTCTGCAAGCAGGCAGGCAGGCAGGCTGTAACTCAAAGCTGTTGGATTGTCTCTGCTTTCCTGTGTTCTAGAGAAAATTCCCTCTGCTTTGGCCTACGCAGAGAAGTATGCCTGGATATGCATACCTACAACAACCAGTAAACACTTTTGTGATTTATGAATGGTCCTTTCAGACTCAGGACTTGGGATCTGTGAGTGTGTGTGTGTGTGTGTCTGAAAGTCAGAAAATGAGATTTTTTTTAAAAAAAAAAAAAGCACAAGTGCTTCGCAACTTATGCCCTGTTCTTAGTTTTCCTTGAGATCCGCAAACACTCCAGCATAGTTTTATTACTTATTAAATTTCTTACAGGCTATGCAGTTTTGTGCGTACAGTGAAAGAATAATTAACCCTGACCTGGGCTTGACTCTGGCCACATCTATGCAACTTTCTAAGCATTAGTTTAAAAAGGATTTAGCCTTTGGCCTTGGGATCTCCTTGTGGTCTCCCGTACCACTATGAACCTGTTCCAACCTGGCTTACTTTTTGGAGAACGTCGTGGATGGAGACCAACCTGCCAATCATTCTACACTTTTTGTTATTATTATTTTTTTTGTCCTTTTTTTTTTAAAAAAAAAGGGAGGGAGCGGTCGGATATGTTAGCACAGGTACTGTAGGGGACAGTTCACAAGAATAACATAGAATAAAAGAGTTGGAACAGATTTTGGGGAGGTCTTTTGCCTCCAACTATCTGCCCAAACGGGAGACCCTCTACTATTCTGAATAAATGTCTGTCCAAGCTCTTTTTAAAAACCTTCAGCGATGGAGAAGCACCCACAACTTCTGGAGGCAAGCTGTTCCACTGATGAATTGTTCTCACTGTCAGGAAATTTCGCCTTATTTTTAGGTTGGATCTCTAATGATTGTCCCACCCTTTATTTCTTGTCCGGCCTCAGGTGTTTTGGAGAATAAACAGACCCCTCTCTTCTCTTCCCTCAAGTATTGGAAGTCCACTATCACGGAATCTTCTCTGTTCCCCCAGGATTTGGAAAGAATAATTGAGTCCTGAATAACTGATGTCTTCTTGCTTGAATTCTGTTGTCTGGCTTAGCACCAGTGGTGAAATTCAAATTTTTTTACTACAGGTTCTGTGGGTGTGGCTTGGTGGGCATGGCAGGGGAAGGATATTGAAAAATCCCCATTCCCTCCCCACTCCAGGGAGAAGGATATTGCAAAATCTCCATTCCCACCCCACTCTGGGGCCAGCCAGAGGTGGTATTTGCCGCTTCTCCAAACCAGGGGTGAAATCCAAAATTTTTCCCTACCGGTTCTGTGGGCATGGCTTGGTGGGCGTGGCAGGGGAAGGATATTGCAAAATCTCCATTCCACCCCACTCCTGGGGGAATGATACTGCAAAATCTCCATCCCCACCCCACTCTGGGGCCAGCCAGAGGTGGTATTGACCGGCTCTCCGAACTACTCAAAATTTCTGCTACTGGTTCTCCAGAACTTGTTAGAACCTGCTGGATTTCACCCCTGTTTCAAACTACTCAAATTTTCCGCTACGGGTTCTCCAGAACCTGCTGGATTTCACCCCTGCTTAGCACCATCAGCAAAACCTGACTGTATATCATGTAGAGCAATGGATTCTGATCACCCATAACAAACTGAAACATGGTTAAGATCAAGTATTTAAATACCAGTAAGAAAATATTATAAGGGATGTGGTGGCTCAATGGCTAAGATGCTGAGTTTGTCAATCAGAAGGTTGGTAGTTCAGCGGTTCAAATCCCTAGTGCCGCATAACGGAGTGAGCTCCCATTACTTCTCCCAATTTCTGCCAACCTAGCAGTTCGAAAGCACGTAAAAAATGCAAGTAGAAAAATAGGGACCACCATTGGTGGGAAGGTAACAGCGTTCCATGTGCCTTCGCTGTTTAGGCATGCTGGTCGCATGACCACGGAGGCATCTTCAGACAGCGCTGGCTCTTCGGCTTTGAAACTGAGATGAGCACTGCCCCCTAGAGCCGGGAACCACTAGCACACATGTGCTGGGGAACCTTTACCTTT